CTATCTATCTATCTATCTATCTATCTATCTATCTATCTATCTATCTAAAATTTAACAATAATAACAAAAAACATACAAAAAATGGCAATATCACATTTAACAGATCTATTTCAGCTAACTTATTATAACTAAACCTCCCTATCATAACAACAATGTTATCCAAGAATATAACATGTCAGTATGACTTCGGTATTATTAACATCAGAAAAAATATATATTTGAACAGGAAAAAAAAAAAGAAAACTTAAGGAAATCACATTACATTAAGATTTTAAAAGCAAAAATTAAGCTAAAAAAACTGGAGTTTATAACAACTTAAACTCTGATATGATAGAGAAAAGTTTGATAGCAGGGGCTGTATTATGATTTTTCAAAGATTTACTAAATAATAAGAACTCATTTTTAAACGCTTTTACAATTGGAAGAGCTTTTGTAAAACGACATTCATGAATGTGGAATTTGGCAAACAAGAACATGAATAAAAACAAAGGATTAGTTCAGTGTTAGTGGCTTTTTGATGTAATTATGTCAGGAATCACAACAGCTTCAACATTTAAAATTTCATATCAGTAAAAAAAACCACAGCCATCAATTTTATATTGTGTGGATATTTCAGCAAAATCTAAGGATATTCCTTTTGAAAATGCCACAGGTTGCAACAGAAGTGCTACAGCAAGCTGCTGCTACTGCTGTGAGCTCATACAAATACATGAAAATTCAATTTAAATAGCTTTTATGCAAAACTGATGGAGATTAAAGGGCGTATTAAAAATTGTAAGATATTCAGAAACTTTTAATTGACTTTCAAGGACATTGAAGAGCACCATGAATCCTGCTCTTTTATTTATGATTTATTTTGTCCATGTTGTGTTTTATAATTTTAAGTATTCCTATAGATGTATTAGAAAAAAATCAATAAAAACATTTTTGTATGAATCACTGAAATTTTTGAGAGAAAAGAAAATTTGTTTAGCTTCAGTGCTTGGTTAACTTTCTATAAGCTGCAGGCAGTTTGTGCAACATAGATTATACTGTTTGTGGCACTTATTAAAGGTTAAAGTGTTTGTGTTGCTCGCAATGTGCTGCTGTCTGTCAGGAACTCATATAAAGAACAAGACATTTAAAGCTCAATACTTCAGTGAAGGCTTCAAGGGGGGAGATGAACCAAGCGGAGAATCACAGTGATTGTGTTTATCATTTTAATATCTGTTTAAATATTCTAATGGTTCATTTATTTTTCCTTTTAGAAATTGAGAAGGGAAATATCCTGCAAAAAAAAATATTTTCTACAGTCAGTTTTCCAATACTTATTGGGGCCTGAAAAGACACTTTTTAAGGTTGTGCAGTGTGATTTATATTGAATAATATTCCACACACCGAAGTCCAGCAGGTGTACATCAGTTGTACCGTTTCAGTAAAGAAATCAACATTTTTTGCTGTAAGTGCTGCAGTGAGAACATTTTGTACTTATCAGTAAAGAGAATGAAATGTCCAAAAGAAGAATTTATGTAGCCAAAACAAATGTATAGTTAATATTCAGCCTGGCGATGTGACTTGTTACAGAGTAGATCTTCTGCTAAGTATAATAACAAGACATAACATAAGATAACTCTTGTTTTCACAGATCAGGGATTTATTTTGTTCAACATTAATACATTTTAGTTACACCCAGCAATAAAAAGTGTAAAAAGAAACAGTATATAAGGATTTAAGATATACACTATGATATATGTTAAACGAACACCAAACTGTACGCTAAAAGATCTAAAATATATGCTAAACACTAATGATGCAAAACAATATGGCGTAATAACTGCAGCCCGAACATGAGTCTGTGTGAGCAGATGGGTACGAAGGTCACAATAAGGTTAACATTCTGGTCTAATATTGTTTTTACATTGTAAATAATTATAAATAATGTAAAAGAAGAAACATACTGAGGTGCCAGCTCATATCAGCATTGTAGTAAGTGTATGTCAACAGCCAACACAAAATAATTTCTGTTAAATTAGTATTTATAAAATACAATAGAAGAAAAAAAACTATGACAATTAAAAAGTTAGAATACGTTAATGTAACCTGAACAGCTACATTTATATGTTTTTTTTTTTTTAGTAAATTATAATAAATGAACTAGAAGCAACTAAATCTTACGCGATATCAACTTTAGCCAGTGGGGGGAAGTACAGTAATAAACGTACTCTATTTAAACCCCCGAAGAAGAATAAGAAATCTTCACACTCTCGCGGTGTTTTCCAGAGTTACGTCATTCCATGATGGCTGAAGACCCGGGCGGTACATTTTTCAATTTCTCTCCAATTTTTCTGTCTTTCTCTTTACCTCAGCTTGCCATAGAGACATGGCAGGACTCATAACCCCGTTAGGCGCTTACATATCACTGGTGTCGACATGCCCAAGAAAGGAAACAGAAAACGGCTGAAATTTAAGGCCGGGGACGTCTGCTCTGAATCAGGTAGCAGCTTAGCTAGCAGGCTAGCCTGTGATGCTAGTTTTGCCGCTCGTTAGCTCTGTACAGTCAAGTTGATAATTTGTCCATGTTTTTTTCAGTTAGATTTAACTTTATAAGCTAACATTACTGTAACAGTTATTTAAATGTTCACATACACATTAACTAAATAAAGAATTAGGAAATTAGAAATCACTTATCAAATCATTGGGCTTTTTGCTGTTTATTAAGAGTGATCCCTCATTTTTACAGTCACTGTTGCTGATTATGCCGATGCCGACCCAGCCATTGTGAAGTCGGGTAGGGTGAAAAAAGCTGTTGCAAATGCGATTGAAAAAGAAGGTAAGCCTTTAGTTGTACAGTAATTGTTCATGTGAGTGAACAAGTTTCAGATGCCTATTTAATGAAACTTGTATTATAGTGAAGTTACTCTGCGGCCTGGAAGCCTCTCAGGGTGCTGTGGAGGAAGTCCTGTCATCTGTAGAAGGTGTCAAAGCAGACGCTTTGGGCAGCAGTGATGACCTAGACCCTGAGGAAGAGGTAGATAATGAATCTAAAGTGGCTCGCAAAAAGAAAAACAAGAGACGAAAAGGTACATTTGCAGTCATTTTTGCACGTTCATCCATGAACGGATTGTTCATGCTAGTATGCCACACCAATCATCCTTATTTTGTACTTTTTCTAAGTTTGTTGTATATTTGGCTCCTTATCTTTTTAGAAAGCAGCGAGTGCAGTGATGGAGAAGATTATCCGGTGGACATTTGGCTTCTACTTTCTTCTTACATTCGGCCAGAGGATGTGTGTCGATTTGCTTTGATCTGCAGGAACGCTTGGACTGTCACTTGCACAGCAGCTTTTTGGACCAGACTCTACAGAAGGTGATTTAGTTTTGTTGCTGTTTTGGGCATGAATAATGTCTTCATTGACATAAATAGCAGTATTTTGATGACTGATTTTTCCTTAATGAAAGATATTCTCACGAGTCACCATGATATTCACATTAGTTGTATGTAGGATATGTCATTCATGTTCCAGTTAACAGTATTTCCCTTACCATTATCCAAGGAGGCGCTCTGTCATCAGCCCTACTACCTACTGACATTACCCCCTGAGTCAACAACTGCCGGCATTAATAACGTAGTGCTCCTTACTTTCTTATTTTGATGTTATTCAAGTTTAGGTAATTTAGAACAACGCTTTTTGCAGGACTGTGTTGATGTCCAGAGTGAACTTATAATCAGATTAATATATTAATATATTTGTGTGAAACATTAGCAACACTACTGATAATGCATTGATTTGTTTTCATTTTGTGTTGATATTTAATAATAATAATGTCATCACAATGTCAGCACTGTATGTTTCCATACAATGGCGAAATTAGTCTCTGCATTTAACCCATCCACCACCAGGTGGTGCAGTGGGCAGCTATTGAAAGCGCCTGGGAGGCATTTTGGGGATGAGGTGTGCTGCCCAAAGACACCACGTGATGTGCAGTGACTGGGGATCGAACCTGGGACTTTTGGGTCCCAAGCCAGCTGCCCTGCCTCTACACCATCTCGGCCCCCATATTTACCACTACTA